AGATCATCTGGTAAATTTTCCAAGAAAAAAAAAGATTGTGGGCTGAAGTAAAGGACCTCATTTCCAGGAGAGTTCCTTTCCATACAACTTTGTCATTTCAATCTTGAGATCCTATGTTATCAAACACCCCCAACATCATGTTCCAGAGAAAGAGGATTGTTTGAAGCTGGCTTTCTCGGCCTTCCACAGTCATTCATTGGCCCAGGACTTTACCCATGGCCCTTTTCCCTCCCAGCAATATCTGTCCCCCTAATCTCACCAGGAAATCCAGGCCAGCTGCTGATTTCAAGCTCCTTGATCTCCCTGCAATAATGAGTATCCCAGCATGCCCTACAGACCCACTTTGCCAGCTCCCAGACTGCAATGTCAAGTGGAGTAATAAATAGTTGCCATGTGTTGCTGCCCCAACACCCTCAAAAAGGAAGAGCAAACACAATGGCTTATCAACAATACCCACGTGCCCTCACTTGAGATTTCTCATTCCCAGGCCAGGCTCCCAGGTACACACAATACCCACTCCTGTCAATGGAGGTGACGTTAGATGAATGGTTTCTCAGGCCAAGCCCTTAATTGTTTCTTTCATATCAGTATTATATTTTTATAATTCTGATGAATCTAGGGTCAACTTATTACGATAGGAGGGGATTTACTAGCTAGAGTAAAAAGCATGGATTTATAATAAAAAGTCTATTGGTTTAAATCTCTTTTTACATTCCTACTAGTTGGGAGACATTGGCCAAGATACCTTCCTGTTTCTGAGATTCAGCTTTATCACTGTACAGGGGAACCAACAAATATATACCATTGGCCTATGTGGAAATTAAAATGAATAACTCATGAAGCATGCTTAATAAATGTTTGTTCCTTTCTCTAATGCTCTGTGTCTGTATGATGGTCAGAAGTACCAGGGCCCAGACAGTTTTCCAAAACCTAAAAAAAATAACAAAGCTGAATTAAGAATATGAAGAGGTGGGGCGCCTGGGTGGCTCGGTCAGTGGGTCATGGGTTCATGCTCTGCTTCAAGATCTTTGCTGACAGCTCAGAGCCTGGAGCCTGCTTCAGATTCTATGTCTCCCTCACTCATGCTCTGTCCTTCTCTTTCTCTCTGTCAAAAATAAACATTAAAAAATTAAAAAAAAAAAAAGAATGTGAAGAGGTAACCCATAGAATGGGAGAGAATATTTGCAAATCATGATAAAGGACTAGTTCCAGAATACATTAAGTACTCTTACAACTCAGCAATAAAAAGACAACTCAATTTTATGACTACAGCTTTGTAATATAGCTTAAAATCTGGAATCATGATGCCTCCAGTTTTTGTTTTTCTTTTTCAGTATTGCTTTGGCTATTTGGGGTCTTTTGTGATTCCATACAAATTTTAGGATTGTTTGTTCTAGCTGTGTAAAAAATGCTGGTGGTATTTTGATAGGGATTGCATTAAATGTGTAGATTGCTTTGGGTAGTATAGACTACCGACCCATGAGTATGGAATGTTTTTTCACTTCTTTGTATCGTCTTCAATTTCTCTCACAAGTGTTCCATAGTTTTCTGAGTACAAATATTTTATCTCTTTAATTAGGTTTATTCCTAAGTATCTTATTGCTTTTGGTGCAGTTGCAAATGGGATCAATTCCTTGATTTTTTTTCTGCTGCTTTGTTAGTGGTTTATAGAAATGCAACAGATTTTATGGGGCGCCTGGGTGGCGCAGTCGGTTGAGCGTCCAACTTCAGCCAGGTCACGATCTCGCGGTCCGGGAGTTCGAGCCCCGCGTCAGGCTCTGGGCTGATGGCTCAGAGCCTGGAGCCTGTTTCCGATTCTGTGTCTCCCTCTCTCTCTGCCCCTCCCCCGTTCATGCTCTGTCTCTCTCTGTCCCAAAAATAAATAAACGTTGAAAAAAAAATTAAAAAAAAAACAAAGAAATGCAACAGATTTCTGCACATTGACTTTATATCCTGAGACTTTACTGAATTCATGTATTAGTTCTAGCAATTTTTGATGGAGTCTTTTGGGTTTTCTACAGAGTATCATGTTGTCTGCAAATAGTGATAGTTTGACTTCTTTCTTGCCGATTTAGATGCTTTTTATTTCTTTTTGTTGTCTGATTACTGAGGCTAAGACTTTCAGTACTGTTAAGTAGTAATGGTGAGAGTGGACATCCTTGTCTTGTCCCTGACCATAGGGGAAAGGCTCTCAGTTTTTCCCCATTTAGATGATAATAGCTATGGCTCTTTTGTATGTGGTCTTTATGATGATGAAGTATGTTCCATCTATCCCTACTTTGTTGAGGATTTTTATCAAGAATTGATGCTGTATTTTGCCAAATGTATGGTACTGACACAAAAACAGATGCAGATCAATGGAACAGAATAGAAACCCCAGAAATGGACCCACAACTATATGGTCAACTAACCTTTGACAAAGCAGGAAAGAATATCCAATGGGAAAAAGTCAGGCTCTTCAACAAATGGTGTTGGGAAAATTGGATGGCAACATGCAAAAGAAACTGGACCACTCTCTTACACTGTGCACAAAAATAAATTCAAAATGGATGAAAGACCTAAACATAAGACAGGAAGCCATCAAAATCCTAGAGGAGAAAACAGGCAACAACTTCTTTGACCTTGGCTGCAGCAACTTCTTACCTGACATGTCTCTGGAGGTAAGGCAAACAAAAGCAAACATGAACTATGGGGACTTAATCAAAATAAAAAGCTCTGCACAGCAAAGGAAGCAATCAACAAAACTAAAAGCCTACAGAAAGGAAGAAGATATTTGCAAATGACATATCTGATAAAGGGTTAGTATCCAAAATCTATAAAGAATTTATCAAACTCAACACCCAAAACCAAATAACCCAGTTATGAAATGGGAAGAAGACATGAATAGACACTTTTCCAAAGAAGACATCCAGGTGACTAACAGACACATCACTCATCATCAGGGAAATATAAATCAAAACCACGATGAGATACCACCTCATGGCTAAAGCTAACAACACAAGAAACAACAGATGTTGGTGAGGATGCAGAGAAAGGGGAACCCTCTTGCACTGTTGGTGGGAATGCAAACTGGTGCAGCCACCCTGGAGAACAGTATGGAGGTTCCTCAAAAAACTGAAAATAAAACTATCCTATGACCCATCAATTGCATATTAGGTAATTACCCAAAGGATACAAAAATACAGATTTTTGTTTACAGCAGCATTATCAACAATAGCCAAACTATGGAGAGAACCCAAATGTCCACAATCAATGATAGATAAAGAAGATGTGATATATGTATCTATATATAGATATAGGTATATAGATAGATGATATAGATAGATAGATAGATAGATAGATAGATAGATAGATATAGATGCACACACACATACAATAATGGAATATAACTCAGCTATCAAAAAGAATAAAATCTTGCCATTTTCAATGACATAGATGGAGCTAGGATGTATTATGCTAAGTGAATTAAGTCAGTCAAAGAAAGACAAATACCATACGATTTCACTCATGTGGAAATTAAGAAACAAAACAGATGAACATACGGAAACAGGGAAGAGGAGAGAGGGAAACAAATCACAGGAGACTCTCTTAACAATAGAGAACAAACTGAGGGTTGATGGAGGGAGGTGGGTGGGAGATCGGCTAGATGGGTGATGGGTATTAGGAGGTCACTTGTGATGAGCACTGGGTGTTGTATGTAAGTGATCAATCACTGAATTCTACTCCTGACACCAATATTGCACTGTATGTTAACTAACTAAAATTTAACTAAAAATAAAAAGACAATCCAATTTTTTCAAAAGGCAAAGGATCTGAATACACATTTCTCCAGAGAAGATATGCGAATAGCCAATAAGCATATGAAAAGATGCCCAACACCATTACTTATCATGGAAATGCAAATCAAAACCACAAGACACCACATTACAATCACTAGGGTGGCTACGATCAAAGACAGATTGGTGAGAATATGGAGAAACCGGAACCTTCATTTGTGGCTTGGCACAAACAGCTTGGCAATTCCTCACAACGACTGAGCAATTTCACTCCAGGTACCTACCTACCCAAGAGAAATAAAAACATATGTTCAATCACAAATGCGTTCACAAATGGTCAGAGCAGCGCTATTCATAACAGCCAAAAAACAGAAACCAAAGGCCTAATGGATGAATGAGTAAATCAATGTGGTCTATCCATACAATGAAATATTATTCAGCCATAAAAAGGAATGAAGGACTGATTCGTGCTACAACATGGATGAACTTTGCAAAAATTATGCTAAGTAAAAGAAGACAGTCACAGAAGAACACCTATTATATGATTCCATTTGATATGAAATGCCCATGGCTGGTAAAGCTACAGAGATGGAAAGTAGATTCGTGGTCGTGTAGGGCTTCAGGGGAAGAGAGGGAGAGAGGGAGGGGGACTGTTCATAGCGATAGTATTTCTCTGGGAGTTTATATAAATACTCTAAAACGAACAGCAGCGATGGATGCACGGTTCTGTGAATATACTAAAAACAGCTGAAATGTACATTTTAAACAGATGAATTTTGTAGATCAATTATATCCCAACAAAGCTGGGGGTTTTATTATGTTTATTTTTTTTTTAAAGACAGAGAGGGCGTGCGAGCAGGGGAAAGGGAGAGAGAGGGTGACACAGAATCCAAAGCAAGATCCAGGCTCTGAGCTGTTAGCACAGAGCCCGACGCGGGGCTGGAACCCCTGAAACTGTGAGATCACGACCTGAGCCAAAGTCAGATGCTTAACCGACTGAGCCACCCAGATGCCTCCACCCAAGTAAAGCTGTTTTTTAAAAAAAAAAAAAAAAAAAAAAAAAAAGGACTCACCCAATGGGACCAAAACCTGGTTCTTCCTGCAGAGAGACCAGACCCACTGTCTAGAGAAACATTGCCATTCCTGAAAGGTGGGAAAGTAACCCTAGCCCCCTCTGATTTGGACCCCAGGCAGCAACCATATCTAGGACCCAACTCACGTTTGCAAAGAAGAAAGGGGTGTACATCCTGATGGAAGGTGAGAAAGGAGAATGCGTTGTTCAGGGTCGGCTCGTGTGGGTTCTCTGCACATGCTCCTGGGCCGTTCGCAGCCAGGGTGAAAGCAGCAAGCTCTCACTCTGTGGGACGTGCAATCACCTCGGTGGCTGCAGGGAAACATGATTGTACCCTAACGATAATTTTTTATTCTGCCATTATGAAGGTATATTGCCATGTCAGGAGGAATGAAGTAATGTTATTTATTTTTTTTTTAATTTTTTTTTCAATGTTTATTTATTTTTGGGACAGAGAGAGACAGAGCATGAACGGGGAAGGGGCAGAGAGAGAGGGAGACACAGAATCGGAAACAGGCTCCAGGCTCTGAGCCATCAGCCCAGAGCCCGACGCGGGGCTCGAACTCACGGACCGCGAGATCGTGACCTGGCTGAAGTCGGACGCTCAACCGACTGCGCCACCCAGGCGCCCCTGAAGTAATGTTATTTAAAAGTTTGTTGATTGATTAAACCTTTCAAATGTTTGAGGACCTCCATTTGCGCTCTTGCCCCTGTTCCTGAAACTATTAGGGCAGACCTGTCTACCGCACACATTAGCAGCTGAGCTGGGACTACGATGGGGGATGAACCCCACTTGCAAGCCACCTCCCTAAATCAAGTTACCATGCTCTTCTTGTACCTCGATGTTAGAATAATCTCCAAACTAGTCTTTCTACTTCCCCCTCCTGCCGCCCTGGCCCCGCCACAGTCACCTAAAAAGATGACTATGGTCACCTTGACCTAAAAAGGTGATCACCTGGGGGCACCTGGATGGCTCAGTCGGTTGAGCTTCCGACTTCAGCTCAGGTCATGATCTCACAGTTCCTGAGTTCAAGCCCCACGTCGGGCTCTGTGCTGGCAATGTGGAACCTGCTTTGGATTCTCTGTCTCCCTCTCTCTCTCTCTCTCTGCCCACCCCCCACTTGAGTTCTCTCAAAAATAAATAAATAAACATAAAAAAAAAAAAAGGTGATCACCTAAAGTGATCCTTTTAAAACATAAGTCAGATACAACCCCTCTACTCAAAGCCCCAAAATGGTTAAAAGCCAATGTCCTCACAACAGTGTGAGGAGGTGCCCTCCCCTGACCTCCTTTTCCACACACTCCTGCTCACTCACTCACTCACTCACCAACTCCACACATGTCTCTCTTTTTCTTTTTTTTTTTTTTTTAATGTTTATTTGTTTTTGAGAGAGAGACAGAGAGACAGTACGAGCAGAGTTGGGGCAGAGAAAGAGAATCCAAAGCAGGCTCCAGGCTCTGGGGCTTGAACCCACGGACCGAGAGATCATGACCTGAGCCGAAGTCAGGTGCCACATGTGCCTCTCCGATAGTCCTCAAACTCCCCCAGGCAGGCTCCTCCTCAGAGACTTCGTACTCACTGTTTCCTCTACTTTTAACGTTTTTCCCCCAGATGCGACAGGGCACACTCCCTCCATGGTTTCAAGTCCTTGGGTAAATATCTTCTTAGTGGGAACTGCCCTGACCACCTATTTAGGGTCAAACTCTAGTAATTACCCTTCCTCCTTTCCCATTTTATTTTTCTTCCTACTACTTACCATCATCTATCACACTATATAATTTACAGATTTATTTCATTATCTGTCTCGCCTTTAAAAAGCAGGGAAGTTCCATAAAGTCTGATCCATTCACAGCTGTATCCACAGCACCTAGTAGGTATTTGAGAAGTCTCCAATGAATGGGTGAATGAATTAATGAATGAGTGGTGCTTTGCCTCAAAAGTAGCAGCTTCAACTTTTAAGGGCTGGGCAGAGATTAAAAAACCAGTCGGATCAAGAAGACCTTTTTCCAGGGTGAACAAACTGGGAGAGCTGATATCCTGGAAGGCAGGTGGATGGGAGGACCCAGCAATGTCAAATGCCACCAGAAGCAGAGCAAGATAAACTGAACAGTGAGGCTGAACACAAGGATGAGTACAAGGATCTGGCTTGAAGACTTCCCCATGAAAACATACTGCAGAAATATTAAGCGCCATTTTGGTTGTCGTGACTATTAGCCACATTATTACTAAGTTCTCCGGTGAGATCTGAGCAATCTTACAGTAACAGTGGTGAAGAGTAGTGTTATCTGATGTAACTTTTTGCATCTTTCTATAAACAGCTGTAGAATGCCCAACTTCATGGTGATTCTAGGAAGCAAGCTCAGGTCATAGGACGCACATCTTATTATGGCACTGTATACATATTTATTCGTTATCATCGCTGCTTAAGTATGACTGGGAACATTGCAGAACACTGTTAGACATGTTGTCTCTTTTGTGTTCCTGTCAGCACAGTGTCAGGATTTAGGAAAGGATTGATCTGGAGTCAGAAAGCACCTGAGTTGAAAAATCATCAATCAATGATTGAAAACAATCCTGTGTGTCAGTCACCACTCCAGCTGCTTTCTGCTTTCACATGATAAATAAGGTAGTCTTCAGAACAAGCTAGTGAGGAAATATTATTATTCCAATATATGGCAAGAGCTCAGGCCATGAAGTCACACAGCCTGGGTTTTCATTGCTACTTACCAGTCATGTGTCCTCGGACATCCTTTTTAACCTCTCTGAGTCCTGTAATAACAGCATCTATCTTGTGGGAATAAAATGAGGATTAAAACAAAAGGATATGTATAAAGTTCTCAACGTAGTAAGTAGCGAGCTCTCAGAAAGTATTTTGTTACGACAATTAGTGACAATTGAACCTGAAAGAGCCTGGCTAAGTAATTTGCCCCAAGTATCCTAGCTAGTAAATGAGAGAGTCTAGATTTGAACCCACCTCTTCCATGACCTAAATAATTCTTTCCCCAACTCATCATAGTCACCTCACCATATTTTCCAGTTGTGGGGGAGGGCATTCCTTGTTGAATATGAAAGTTACACAGCAAGCTGGGAGGGTCTTGGGCTCACGGTGATGTCAGGTCAGGCTTCAGTCCTCTGGGACCTCTACTGGACTAGCCCATCCAAAAGGGCTCTCCTGCACATCTGGTGCCTGCACAGGGATAATGGGTTGCTGGGCTTACCAAAGATGCTGGGACAGCCACAAAATACAGCACCAAGTCACCAACTGCTGACTCTTCAGGAAAAGTCCTCCTGTACAGAACACATACACATTCCCACCACCACCCGTGTCTCTGCTTTATGATAATACCTAAGGTGTCAACTCCTTGAAAACAAAAACTATTGTGCACTGGTCAATGCTGGCCCCCCAGAACTGTGACTAGGATGTGGCATAAACTTAATAAATATTTGTGGATAAAGGCAGGGAAGGGGGAGATGGAAGAAGGGGAGAGTAGAAGGGAGAGGGAGAGAGAGAATGAGGAAAGTCCTCCCAGGAATGTATGTTGGTATTTTTAAAAAATAGAAGGATATGTTTCTTTCCACTATGAGCCCTGCCTCTTGCGGGTCCATGTTCCACTTTTCAAACAAGGAGACCATCTCCTTCCTAACGTACCCCCAGAGAAAAGGACAGTGTCTCCCATGTGACGCATAGAAACCACCCTCTACCCCGCCACCATCACTATTTTCCAGCTTGTCAATCAAAGCCAATGAGCACCAGAGCCTGGCCAATCACTGTACAGCTTGACATTGCCCATCCCCATGGGACCCTCCCCCCAGCGGACTCAGGGTAAATTGCATCAGAACGTCAGGTAGAAGCTGGCATCTGTATTTCTTAGAGTTCGTCAGTTGATTCCAATGCACAGCCAAGAAGCTGCAATTGAGAATGACAGCCACTTGTCTGGAGGATGGACAACTCTTGATTCACACACACACACACACACACACACACACACACACACTTCAAAATCTAGCTCTTAGAGCCCACAGAGGTGTGTAGTCCCACTTCATCTGAACTCCTCTTAACATACCTTAGCTACCCACCTTCTTCTCCACATTTTAATTTTCATTCGGTTTGTACTTGTCATCTCTTCTGATCGTAAATTCCCGGAGGATAGGATTTTTCTTCCTCCACCCCGTGAGCACCTAAGAGCACCTGGCGTGTACTGACGCTCGGCCAGCTGCTGACTGCGCGAGCAAGCAGCAGGCCTGAAGGCAGGCAGGCACTTGGAGTGGAGGCGCTGGTCTCACAGAAAATCCTACAAGGATTTTCCTACACATCTTTGGCTTTTCTTCTCTGATTCTTCCTTTTCCTCTGCTCTGGCACTGGACATTCCTACCCATTTCCTGGCTCTCCGGCAAAGTGGGGAGATCCTGGCCCAGAACCCAATTTCTCAGCATTGGGCTGTGTCAACCCTGCTGAGAGGCTGCTGCTTTAAATAAATGCATCTGGGCATTTCAGACTTGCAGCGCAGACCCACCTCGATCCTTGTTACAGCTTCAGATCATTTGAAGCGGCTCAAGAGGGAATGTGAAGGCCCAGACTCCCACAGAGAGGCAGCTAATAAGCTAAAGGGAAAGGAGAATGTCTAACTGAATGGGGGGCAACAGGGATCCTGGCCAAAATTCCCCATCGAAGACACAAAAATCAATTTTGAATGGATTTGGACAGACAGTCCTGCCAGGACATTCCAGTGGCGTCTAAACACCAGCGGTGGACGAGGAGAATGTGTGTTGTTCTGTAGGATCGCCTGGGCTGCCAGGGAACTTGATACCTCCAGCTTGGCCCTCTGTCCCCAGCCTCTGACACCCCTCCCCCTTCCAAAGACCCTCTGGCTGCCTGAGTCACTATAATATATCGCATTCCCCCCCCACCAAGGAGTAAGTCTACTGCTAGCCTCAGGATAAGCGGTTTCTTGCACTTTTGCTTCCTATTAGGCAGAGAAATGAGTGGAGATGCCACAATTAGGCCCAGAGCCAGTAAACCAGGTAAAGCTTTTGGACTCAAAACCAAATCCACATGAAACCTAAGAAAAGAGCTTCTTCCTCCCTCCCCAGTTTCCACGTCTTGTTAGGCAGCGGAAGAACTGTGCCTACTCCCACCCTGCTGCGTGAACCACAGAAGTGTCACTATGCAAGGAAAGGCAAATGTGTTTGCTCTACGATGCAAACTCCAGTAGATTGATAGTGCCTGAGGGGAAGCAGCCTTCCCTGAGGCTCAGTGGAAAATTACAATTGATTAGTGATGTCTGCTACGTGCCTGAAAATTACAGTTGATTAGTCATGTCTGCCATGTACCCGGAAAGGAGATTGTAGAGTGTTCACCGTGTTTTTGTCAACCTCCAGGGCGAGATCCAGGCTCCCCGCTAGTAGGAACGGAATTCCCACACGATGGTGACACTGGCACTGCTGTAGTAGGTAGTGTAGCTTGGGTGGGAAGTTGAAGCACAGCTGGTTCTCTTCCATGGGATGGGCTCTTCCTCTCTTTCCTTCATAACTGAGGAAATGAGATAACCCCCTTAGTTGGGGGCATCCTGCATTTCTGAGGACAAAGGAGGGGGAGGTGGAAGACAAGACATGGGTGGCTCTGGGAACATGAGCAAAGGGAATTCTCCAGACTCACATCCCAGCTTCCCGGTCAGAAAGAAGCCAGGGAAGAACAAGGGCTCAGGCTCTAGGGAGAGGTAACTTGCATTGCCATGCTTTCCTCCCTCCCCTCCACCCCCCCACTACAGACCTGGAGTACAACCTACAAGCTGGGGAAAGCCTTATTAAAGAAGAGTCCAACCAAAAAAAAATTTTTTTTCCAAAGCCACAGTGAACCATGAATTGGACCTGAATGTAAAAAACAGCTTCTGTTTTGTTTGTTGGTTGGCCTGTTCTTTGCTTTTTCAAACAAAAACAATAACAAGAAGGCTGAACTGCAGTAACTTTGATGCTATCTGATGGCATTTGGCCCTGCTCCTACAACCTCCCTGCTTGTCTATGTCTGAGTAAAAACAAAATGCAAGTATGTTATCTGGGGTGGGAAGAAAGGCATGCATTCTCATTATCACATTAACAGATTAGACTCCAAGAGCAGGCCCCGAAGAAACACGGACAGGATGTGCACATTTCTACAGGGAGGGAAGAAGGTCAGAAAAGGCCAGACAAGGGGAGCCTGGATGGCTCAGTTGGTTAAGCATCTGACTCTTGATTTCAGCTCAGGTCATGATCTCACCATTCATGGGTTCGAGCCCCGCATCAGGCTCTGCACCGACAGTACAGAGCTTGCTTGGGATTCTCTTTTTCCCTCTCTCTCTGCCCTTCCCCTGCTTGAGTGCTCTCTCTCTCTCTCAAAATAAATAAACATTAAAATATATATTTAAAAAATTTTTTTTAAAGAAAGAAAGAAAATGCCTGATGAGAGGAAAGAGTCTGGTGCCTCGGTGTGGTGTTCTGAAAACAGGGGTCAATGAGGTGACAACTGACAGTAGGTTAGATGAGGAAGGGGCATACCTGGCCAAGAGATCTGAAAGAAGCCCAGATGAGACAGTCAGGTGGCACTTATGTCTCCATTTTATTGAGAAACAGCTCCAGATTCCCAATTTCTCAGCATGTTTCTGCCACGTCCCCATGTAACCCATTGCTGTTGAAAATAACCACTACTGGGGTGGCCTGTTAAAAAGATGTTAACTTGCTGCCTCTTCATCAGAGATACAATAGCTTTCTTTATTGAAAAAATACATACACACACACACACACAGCAGGGGAAATTGACCCACTGAGACCCCACAGAAAGACCTCTTTGGACAGTTAGAGTTTCAACTCGAGGTCTCTGGGCTTCAACAGACTCCTGGGAGCTTTGCAGAGACCTTTCTTAAGGTTTGGCAAGATTCAGTTTTCCTTCCATCAGGTATTTCCTACCTTACAAAAGGAAAAATTCTTAGCTTCTGTATTTAGAAATTTAATACCAATAAAAACAGGGCCGTTTATACATGAAAGACGGAAAACCATCCTCAGGAGGCACCTCAGCTTTGGTCAGTCAGTCAGCAGGGTGTGCTGACCACATGGCTTTCTCTCTGCACCACACTGAGCAAGGCACAGACAGAGGAGCTGAAGGCTTGGCCCCCGAGGGCAACAAGCAAATTCCCTTCATTCAACAGAAAGGAGCTGACTCCTTTCTATAAGCAAGGCATTGTGCTTTGGAAAAAGAAGCTCTATTAGACAAGGGCCCTATTTTCTGAAATATATACAAATAACTCTAGGAAATGGAAAAATGTGGTAGGAGTTATAAGACAGATTTAGAGAAAGTGCTCAGGACCATGAGTTAAGAGGGGAACAAGCTTCCAGCTGACGTAACCCAAAAAGACCCTGTGGAGAAGATGGCAGTTGAGTTAGGGATGGAAGGATTGGCTCCTCAGAGTGGGTTTCTCTCAGAAATGGAGGGAGGTGAGGTGGTGAAAAACATGAGTGCTAGAACCAGGATGCCTGGGTTTAAGCACAGTCTCCACCACCACCCCATCAACAAGCGTACTTATGTTTCTGAGCCTCAGTTTTTCTCATCTGTGAATTGGGGCCAATAATATTTACCTCTTAGGGATAAATGAAAGGATTAAATGGGGGAATTAATGAAAAATTCTTGGCATAGAAAGTGCCCAAGAAATGTTACCCCATAATTAGTTTTTCAAAAGATGGTGATCATGAGAAGTGTAAAAGATGGCTGACAGATGTAAAGTCTTGCTTGACAGGGGAAGAAAGCCTGGGTCACAGGTATACAATCAGAAGTTTTGATCTGCTCCCAAAAGTACCATGCTGAACGAGATAACTTAGAAGGAACACTTCCCAGAACCCAAGTCACAGGGAGTAAAGCCATTATCAAGGCAAGGAGAGCCTCTCATGGGGGAACAAGAAGGTCCTTTGGCCCAAATATCACTATCAAAAAGGCCTCAAGTTTACACTTTTGATATTACTTCCAACTGAGTTATGCACAGAAACACAGAGAGCCATTGGCATAGAATGTGAACTTATGTAAACATTTAATTCCACCAACATGTGGGAATCTCTTTCTTTTTAATAAACCAGGTGTCTCAAAAATATGGAAGTGGCCCAGGCTCCTCTTGACCTTTGAGAGGTTATAAGGCAACTTTAGGTAGCCTGAGATCTCTAATCAAGTCCAGTCACTGATGGGGAGTCAAGTGAACAGCAGTCATGCAGTGTCTGACCTAAAGCAGCCATGCTCTTAAGCCTTGTTATCATATGTGGACTTGTAGAAATGAGACCACTAGGCTTACCTGCTCTAACAATAGCATGAGCAAGAGCATAGAAGCAAGGAGCCAGGTACGTGCAAGGGAAAGAAAGTCATGAAGGCTGGTCAAGTATGGAGCCCATGAAAAGAAAAAGAAACCCCAGGGTTCAGATTCCAAGTGGGAATCAGATAATGGAGGAGAGAAAGACTAAAAATTCATGCCAGCTTTTATTGGTGTTCACCAATTTACACAGTTACCAGTGGAATCAAACTGAGTCATTTATCAGTTCCTCACTTGTCACCATTAATTCTGGAAAAGCATTCTTCACTTCCATCATCTCAACCGTCTTAAAAAGTTCTGTCATCACTTCATGTGCCCCTTCCTCATCCTAGGAACTGCACTGGATGTTCCTTCCCATCTCCTAGATGTATTATTTGCTCAGATATCAAGGAATGAAATGCCCAAGGCGTGAAATCTGCCCATGGCCATTAAGCCATTCATTGCAGAGGCATTGCCTGGTTTGACTTCTTGGTCTTTTTAAAATTTACCAAATACTTTTCTGTCTATGTAATCTATTTGATGAGGGTCAAGTTTTAGAGATCAAGGTATAAAGACCAAAAATTCAGCCACATGTTTAGGCAAAGTACTTTTATTACAAAAGGCAGTCTAAGAGGTGTAACTTGGACTGCAATAGAGAATATTCTAGGATATTTCAATGGCTTGTGAAACCATGAGGCAGAATGTTGAAATAGGATTCTTCCAGAAAACCTGGGATGAAAAGTATGAAAGAGATGGTGAGTTGCCTTCCAAATGCCCATTCTCCCCTCAGAGGCAGGAAAGAGGAGATTGCAATTGTTAGTTGACCCATCCTCCTGTATGACCTCAGTCCGAGAAGTGTTGGTCAAAGTGTTATATGAGATTTTCATACTTGAACCCTCCAATTGTGGCCCAGTAGGTCCCAGTTCCAACTGCTGAAGCCTCCCTCTCCTTCAGGCTCCCTTGACAAATTGTCTCCACATCTCATGAGGGCCATGCTGGAATCCCACCCCGGGCAGATCTGACCCTAGGTTTCTCTCAGCACTGCCTGGCTGGCTGGACCA